TGCTGTCCTCAGATCAATTTATTGTCCTCAGATTACTTCTGCTGTCCTCAGATCAGTTTATTGTCCTCAGATCAATTTATTGTCCTCAGATTAATTTATTGTCCTCAGATCAGTTTATTGTCCTCAGATCAGTTTATTGTCCTCAGATTAATTTATTGTCCTCAGATCAATTTATTGTCCTCAGATCAATTTATTGTCCTCAGATCAGTTTATTGTCCTCAGATTAATTTATTGTCCTCAGATTAATTTATTGTCCTCAGATCAATTTATTGTCCTCAGATCAGTTTATTGTCCTCAGATCAGTTTATTGTCCTCAGATTAATTTATTGTCCTCAGATTACTTCTGCTGTCCTCAGATCAGTTTATTGTCCTCAGATCAATTTATTGTCCTCAGATCAGTTTGCTGTCCTCAGATCAATTTATTGTCCTCAGAACAGTTTATTGTCCTCAGATTAATTTATTGTCCTCAGATCAGTTTATTGTCCTCAGATTAATTTATTGTCCTCAGATTAATTTATTGTCCTCAGATTAATTTATTGTCCTCAGATTACTTCTGCTGTCCTCAGATCAGTTTATTGTCCTCAGATCAATTTATTGTCCTGACATCAATTTATTGTCCTCAGATTAATTTATTGTCCTCAGATCAGTTTATTGTCCTCAGATCAGTTTATTGTCCTCAGATCAGTTTATTGTCCTCAGATTAATTTATTGTCCTCAGATTACTTCTGCTGTCCTCAGATCAGTTTATTGTCCTCAGATTAATTTATTGTCCTCAGATCAGTTTATTGTCCTCAGATCAGTTTATTGTCCTCAGATCAGTTTATTGTCCTCACATTACATCTGCTGTCCTCAGATCAGTTTATTGTCCTCAGATTAATTTATTGTCCTCACATTACTTCTGCTGTCCTCAGATCAGTTTATTGTCCACCGCGGTAAAGTTAGTTTTACGTTGGACGTTGGATATTCGAGCTCCGCGGCTTCAGCGGGGTGCTGCTCTCGTCAATCCGCTTCAGGCTGTCTGATTTCGGTCGGCCGCGCTCAACGTGCACCTACTCAGAGACGTAATGGTTCGCTTAGGGACCGTCAACAAATTATCGAACGCAGTCACTCTTCAGAAACAAAAAGCAATATATTGTACATGATTTGCCCCACTCACCCAAAACTTAGATAAAACTACTCTACAAGATTAGGCAGATGATGCACACAGGTTTATTAATCATTTTTATGCATTTCATAATATTAAAATAATTTAAATGGTCATAAATCATGGTTTTTGCTCAATAGCGTCCATGTCTTTTGACCCACGCACAGAAAACTTACACCAAACGAGGCACACCTGTTTATTTTTCATTTTTTATGCATTTCATAATTTTACATAATTTAATATTTCATAAATCATGGTTTTTGCTCAATAATGTTCCAGTCTTTTGACCCACGCACACAAGTTGCGTTCCAGAGCTGAGGAGCACAGAGACTGAAGGCTCTGTTCCCCGTGGTGACGAGACGGGCACAAGGAACAATAAGACGAGTGGCAGATGAGGACCTGAGGGAACGGGAAGCAGTGGAGATGTGAAGCAGATCACACAGGTAAGGAGGGGCAAGGTCATGGATGCACCTGAACGTGAGAGTTAAGATTTTAAAATTTATTCTAGCTTCTATGGGCAACCAGTGAAGCTGCTGCAGAACCGGGGTGATGTGTTCTCTGAACAGGGTACAAGTTATGACCCGAGCTGCAGAGTTCTGGAGGAGTTTGAGTTTATGGAGAGTCTTATTCGAGAGACCAAAAAGAAGAGAGTTGCAATAATCGATCCTGGAGGTGATAAGGCTATGGCCAAGGATGGCAGCAGCATGAGGAGTAAGAAAAGGACGAAGTCGGTTGATGTTACGTAAATGGAAGTATGCAGACCGGGTGATAGAGTTAATATGAGATTGAAATGAAAGCGTATTATCAAGTATGGGTATGTTTACATGGACACAAGTAACCGGATCAAATGGCAGGTCAGAATAAAAGTGTCATGTAAACACTCCGTTCGGGTTATTTTTTGTGTATTCGGCGCGATCCGATATAATTTGTGATCAGAACGAAACGGGTGGTTTACGCCGATCCGTAACCCGATCGGTGCGCATGTAAATGCTTGATCTGTTCGTTTTTATCTGATGGTGAAAAACTGACCTGACTGCGCATGTGCGACTTTGCCATTTCCGCCTGGCTAATGCTAATAATATTAGCATGTCAGGGGAGCAAAACTGGTCGATGAGCGACACAACATTTCTACTAGAAACTTTGAAAGAGCTCAAAATGATCTGTATCACCTGCAGCTCAGTCAGGGAGTGCAGTAACGTCTCCAACATCATTAAAACCTGTCGCGGGTCCATTTTGGTGCTCAGGTTTGTTTACGTTCACCCGGAAGTAGAACTTCTTCTTCGGTGGTTTTTTTAAGGAGAGTTTACCACTCTGCGCATGTCAGTACTGCTGTTCAGAACAAAGCCCGCTGCAGGTAAACACTCGTCATGAATAGATTGTGCCCGTGTAAACAACACATTTGAATTATTCAAACAGAACACATTTCAAGCCGGTCAAAGAATTCTGCGCATGTAAACATAGCTAATGTGTCAGCCTCACGGACAGAAACTGGAAGTTGATTCCACAAGAGAGGACCCTGAGAACTGAAAGATCTGCCTCCCATTCTGTTTTTGTAAACTCTAGGAACCACAAGTAAACCTGCAGTCTGAGAGTGAAGTGCTCTGTTAGGAAAATATGGAACAATAAGATCTGTAATATAAGATGGAGCTAGGTTGTTGAGAGCTTTGTAGGTTAGAAGTAAGATTTTGAATTCTATTCTGGATTTGACAGGGAGCCAATGGAGAGAAGCTAAAACTGGAGAGATATGATCTCTCCCAGTAACTCCAGTTAAGACTCTCGCAGCAGCATTTTGGATCAACTGAAGACGTTTTAAAGAAGTATTTGGACACCCAGATAATAAACCATTGCAATAGTCCAGTCTAGACGTGACAAATGCATGGACCAGTTTTTCTGCATCATCTTTAGATCAGATGTTTCTAATGTTAGTGATATTACGCAGGTGGAAGAAGGAGGTTCTAGTAACGTTTTTAATGTGGGGGATAAAAGACATGTCCTGATCAAAAATAACACCAAGATTTTTAACATTAGAGCTGGAGGACAGATTAATGCATCTAAGGAGGGAGAAAGACTGAAACATTCATTCCTGAGGTGCTCAGGTCCAAAAACTAAAACCTCAGTCTTGTCTGTTCAACAGGAGAAAATTAAGGGTCATCCAGGTTTTTATGTCTTTAAGACATGCTTGTAGTCTAAGTAGCTGATTGGATTCATTGGGTTTAATGGATAAATATAACTGTGTATCATCAGCATAACAATGAAAATGTGTCCCATGCTGTTTAATAACTTTACCTAATGGAAGCATCTATAAAGTAAAGAGTATCGGTCCAAGCACTGAGCCCTGAGGAACTCCATGACTAACTTAGGTGTATGAAGATTTATTATTTACATTTACAAACTGGAATCTGTCAGATAGATATGATTTAAACCATTTTAGAGCTGTTCCTGTAATCTCAACATCATATTCAATCCTCTGTAGTAAAATATTGTGATCAACTGTATCAAATGCAGCACTGAGGTCTAACAGGACCAGTAGAGACACAAGTCCATTGTCTGAGGCCATGAGAATATCATTAGTGACTTTTACTAGTGCTGTTTCTGTGCTATGTTGAGCTCTAAACCCTGACTGAAACTCTTGTAGTGAACTAAGCCTCAGGTCAAAATCTGGCCTTGAGGGCCTTCCTGGGACAAGAACTGTTATTTCATTGATTTGAGTCCAGAAACACAAAATTAAGTTCATCCAGAGACTTTCTAAGTGTGTCCTGCACTGATCAATTGAAAGAACACTCTCTTTTTTATTATCATTACTATTTTACAATATCTTGATAATCAAAAGTGTGTTTAGTTCAAATCATTTTTAAATGTTGAAGTGAACTACTTATTTTAAATCAACTGTGAAACAGTATTAATGATTTTTAATCCTCATTCAAAGTAGAAATCTAGTTAATGTCTGTTACAGAGTAATTATTCATTTTCTTGATCTTCTGTCTGAAATGAGCAGGTTGTAAGTCGGTCAAAAGTCGGAGACAAACGCAAACAAGTTTGTTGGAACGAACTGTCATGTTTTTAAATCCTCTCAGACGTAAATAGAGAAGCTGGCACCTGTTTCCTCCCATCTCGCCTAAACATTTCTCTTGTCTGTTTCAAAAACATTTTTCTGTCTGTTCCAAAACATCGAACTGTTTTTCTGACTTCTAATAACCTCTTACATCACTAAGACCACACCCCTGTTGGTTCGTTTCGACCAATCAGGAAGTTCTCAGAGGAACCGGAACTGACCTCTTTAAAAGGGTCAACACTTCCTAGTTCCAAGTAGAATGCGGAACGCAAAACAACGGGAACTACAGAATGCGGAACGCAGAACAAAGTTCCGAGTCTCGTGGGGATTATGGAATCTTCCACATCTGAGTGGAACCTCTGACGGGCTCACAGCTCATGCAAGCCCACCCGAGAGGTGAGCTGGTGTTGAACGAAGTACCGTCACTACTCCGGACGGTTCTCTGCTATCCTTACGGAGACGCTGAAAGGTGGTTTGAAGTGGAACTTTACGCCAGAACTGACATATCTTCAGAAAGGTAAAAAGTCAATCTTCAACTGCGAAGTGTACCGTGGGTTAAGCTGGGTTCGAATGGAGAGTGCCGTTCGTTATACAGACACATTTCCCTCACCCATTCTCCCCGTACGGGCCACCAGAAATGTAGTGAGATAGGTCGGTTAGCTTCGTTTAGCTTCGGAGCTCCACTACACGTTATAATATCTGGACTAGTTCAAGTACCTGATATTATACTTAATTTAAACGGTTCTCTCTTTTTCGAGCTACTTGACAGATATGTGACAGAGATCAGTGACGTGAGACGTTAATTTTCTTTGACCCATCAAAATGAATGCGGTCATTTATTAACAGAATCAAAGTTTAACATCAAACATTGTACACGTGATTATTCTGATTGAAGCAATAACACAGCTTAATTACAACAGACATTTATGAAAATATCTGGATGATTTACTGGCAAGATAGAAGAGTTTTAAAGATGGGGAATGAAGGAGTTTAAATGGAGAGGGAAAGATGGATGAGGGAATATGTCTATTATAACCAGAAACAACACGCTCCTTTGGACCCAGCTTAACCCACGGTACACTTCGCAGTTGAAGATCGACTCTTTACCTTTGCAGACGATAGTTCGGCCTCGGTGTGGAGTTCTCTTTCTACGCTTTCCAGCGTCTCCGTAAGGATAGCAGAGATCTCAGGAGTCGTGAGATCATCCCTGAACAGACTTCCTCATTGTTCAGAGCTTCCGTCGGGTAGCGCCACAGCGAGACGTCGTGGCATAGACGGACTCTGATCATTCCATTAGAAACTTCTCTGGAACTCTGGTTCTCTCTGGAACGTTGTTCAGCTTAGTTCCCGTTGTTCTGCGTTCCGCATTCTACTTGGAACTAGGAAGTGTTGACCCTTTTAAAGAGGTCAGTTCCGGTTCCTCTGAGAACTTCCTGATTGGTCGAAACGAACCAACATGGGTGTGGTCTTAGTGATGTAAGAGGTTATTAGAAGTCAGAAAAACAGTTCGATGTTTTGGAACAGACAGAAAAATGTTTTTGAAACAGACAAGAGAAATGTTTAGGCGAGATGGGAGGAAACAGGTGCCAGCTTCTGTATTTACGTCTGAGAGGATTTAAAAACATGACAGTTCGTTCCAACAAACTTGTTTGCATTTGTCTCCGACTTTTGACCGACTTACAACCTGCTCATTTCAGACAGAAGATCAAGAAAATGAATAATTACTCTGTAACAGACATTAACTAGATTTCTACTTTGAATGAGGATTAAAAATCATTAATACTGTTTCACAGTTGATTTAAAATAAGTAGTTCACTTCAACATTTAAAAATGATTTGAACTAAACACACTTTTGATTATCAAGATATTGTAAAATAGTAATGATAATAAAAAAGAGAGTGTTCTTTCAATTGATCAGTGCAGGACACACTTAGAAAGTCTCTGGATGAACTTAGTTTTGTGTTTCTGGACTCAAATCAATGAAATAACAGTTCTTGTCCCAGGAAGGCCCTCAGGGCCAGATTTTGACCTGAGGCTTAGTTCACTACACTCTTCAGATTATTTCTTTGTAGATGTCCACGCAACTGACCTGCAACTATTTTCTCTAGAATTTTTTAGATGAAAGTTAGATTAGATATAGGTCTATAATTGGCCAGAATTTCTGAATGAAGGTCAGACTTCTTAAGTAAAGGTTTAATTACAGCAACCTTAAAGTGCTGTGGTACATAACCATCCGTTAAAGACAAATTAAGTAGATCCAAAATGTGGACATTAATTAGTGGAAATACCTCTTTAAACAGTCTGGTTGGGATGGGATCTAGCAGACATGTGGATGGTTTGGATGAGGTTATTATTTTTGACAATTCAGAGCTCAACAGGACAAAAACAGACCAAATATAATTGAGGTTCTAGTGAAATTTGACAGGGGACTAGGGATAGTAGAAGGAAGGATGGTTTATATATATATATATATGTTTTATTTCTCAGCCCCTTATCAGGAACCTACCTCTCAGTCTCTTTCTGTTGAGACTTACCTCAATTTGTTTACACAAATCTACCTCAGTTTTAAAACCTACTTTGTTATATATTAAAAAGTTTTTCAGTTTACCTTAAGCAGTTGTTTTCGTTGTCTCAGTCAAAAGTTCTCAGTCTGTTTCGAATTCTGTCGAGGTCAAATCCTCCCGATTGAAATCCAGAACGTCCCCTCGCTCTTAAAGACTAGCAGAGGTTTAGAGGAAGAATCCTGCGATTCTTGGTGATCAGCCACCGTCCTGGGTCCCACCGAGTGGACGGACCAGCGAATAATCCTGTTTGTGGAGTTTTATCAGACTTTGTTGTTCAATAAAATTTAGCAGACTGAGAACTTTGTTAAAAACACATAGCAAGGTTTATTTCTCTTCTGCAGAAGGAGAGAACACATGAACAAGCACGCAGCTAAAGAGTTCTGTGTGTTTTCTAAAAAAACATGAGCAATGCAGCTTCATTTATACGTCTTCACACGTAACAGATCTTGCTTTGACACAACAGCCGTTACCTCATTTGCAATCTTATCAGAGAAAGAAACAGACAGTACGTTTGTGGTCAGTGACTGGTTCTGGAGCTGGGTTTGAGAAACGGAAGTTACAAAGCTTCACACACTGATGCTGAAGGGATTTAGCTGATAAGATTTAACAGAGTGTGATATAAAGTAAATGACTAATAAGTGTGATGATAAACTTCATGAACAAAATAAACTGGTATCAATGTTTTTCATTTCCACAAAGTACTGAACCTTTCTGAGACTCAGAGCTAAAACTGCATGCAAACACTTTAATTATCATTTTAAAGTAAACTGTAAATTGTGTAAACATATCAAACTTTTTTATATTAACAACCCAGAAAATACCAACAGAACAGTGAATGTCAGAGTCGTACGTTGGACAGCTTCGTACAAAGAGCTCCAGGATGTTGTTGAGCAGCAGCTGAGTTCACAAACAGCATTTTAAATGTGATCATCACAGACATGCAGCTGCTGTCCTGGTGGAAGATGAAGGATCCACAAGATCATCTCCACCTTCAATACAAATCATGTCCTTCCTTCCAGATCCTACTTTGTCAATTCCATTCGGTTTCACAGTCCATAAAAATTATTTTACAGCATTTAGATTTTTATGTGATGTTTAAAAATAATTCAACTTAAGCAATAAAATATTTTTAAAAAGAGGAATTAAATGGGTTGTTTATTTAATGTTCTTTTTTCGTGTATTTGTATCACTCATAAAATGAGTACGGTAGTTACTGCAGAACCTGACAAATTTTGTTCCCGATCACTCGACTAATCGACAGAGCAATAGATTACTCTTATTACTAAAATATTTGTTTTCCACAGCCCTATGAATGTTTCTGGTCAGGACCCTGAGATGACTTCTGTTGTGACTTGGCACTATATAAATAAACAAAATTGAATTTAATTGCATGATGCTCTTTAAGCCACATTTTTGTAAAGCAATCAAGGTTGCTCTGCCTGAACTCTCAATCATGGACAGTTCTGAGCTTTAATTCATCCAGTTTGTTGTTTATCGAACACACATTGGTGGGGCTGATGACAGGCAGAGGGAATCTGCTCCGGTGTTTCCAGAGTCGTTGCCTCACTCCTCTTGAACCCCACTTCTTCCTGTTTTTCTTTCGCCAGCATGACCATGTCCCAGATCGCTGGATTTCACAGCAGTCTGATGGTAAACTGATCAATAGTAATCCAGCCTTTGGGCGTAGTGAAAGCAGGTGCTCCGGGGTGTAGATGAGGGCGTCTTCCCATCCCTCCCAGCAGTTGCTCCCAGGAGCAAAGGCAGTCAGGCAAAAAAATAGCCATACCATTGCAAAAATCAATTTGCTCATAGATGCACAGGTAGAGACAATTAAGATCCACAAAAAGGTGGGGGTTCCACTTCAAGTAATATCCAAAAACCATGCAAAACTCTGTCACATTCAGACATGGAGAGCACAGGGTCATCAGCAGGTCCGGCCCCAATCCTAACTGTTCAACTCTTGGAGCTTAAAGTTAAACCAACAGTCACACACATCTGTAATATAAAATGGAGCTAAGTTGTTGAGAGCTTTGTAGGTTAGAAGTAAGAATTTGAATTCAATTCTGAATTTGACAGGGAGCCAATGGAGAGAAGCTAAAACTGAAGAGATATAATCTCTCCCACTAACTCCAGTTAAGACTCTGGCCGAAGCATTTTGCAATCAACTGAAGACTTTTTAAAGAAGTATTTGGACACCCACATGATAAACAATTGCTATAATCCAGTCTAGATGTGATAAATTTACTGTCTCTAACTGATGTTTTTATGGCAATGACAATAAAGTAAAGTAAATGGATGAACCAGTTTTTCTGCATCATTTTTAGATCAGATGTTTCTAATTTTAGTGATATTACGCAGGTGGACAAAGGCAGTTCTGGTAACGTTTTTAATGTGGGAGTTAAAAGACGTGTCCTGATCGTCCTCAGTCCAGTTCTACTGTCCTAAGATCAGTTTACTGTCCTCGGTGCAGTTCTACTATCCTCAGTCTAGTTCTACCATCCTTAGTCCATTTCTACTGTCCTCAGTCCAGCTTTACTGTTCTCAGATTAGTTTACTGTTCTCAGTTCCCATACTAAAATTAGCCTGGGATTAACCACATTTAACTTGAAATGTATGTACCATTTATGTTTTGTGACTGCCCTTTTTAAGCGTTTGTGGGTTTCAGCTGCAGATCTCAGAGAGCTTTGATGACCCGTCTGGAGAAGTAACAACCACTTGTCTCTATTTAGGCTCTACCTTCCAACATGCCTGTGGACATGGCCATCAGGATCTGCCTTGCTAGCTCTCCTCCACTGCACTCCTTCCTCAGTAACCATGACAACCATCTTTACACGCCAGCCTCTGTGTCACCACACTGTCAACCACTGCGACCCTGTCTGTCTTCCGAATGCTGCGCCACTGTTGTCATCGCAACCAAGGATGCAACATGCATGTCTGTGGAGAGCAGTGACCAGGTGAGGGGGAAGAGCCAGAAGAAAAGTGTGGTATTTGCAGACTCTCAGGGTTTGGCACTCACCACCGTCCACATGTTCTCTGAGACTGTGGACGAGCAGCTGGCTGAGCTGAAGTTCCACCTGACGGAGATAGAGGACAACACCGAGAAACTCTACCTGGGAGACAACAAAGGTACTGAGCTAAAGAAGAGCTGATCAGCAACAATTATTGTTATGTATATTAATTAACATTTTAAATCAGTCTGATAATTTATCTTTGTTCCAAACAATATGTAATTAAACTGTTTTATTTTCTGTCCTGATTCAGACAACTCAGACCCATTTTGGGCTGAGTGTGAGGATATACGATGTACAAAGGATCTCAAAATTTACAAGAAAACAACCAACAAACAAGACAAACATTGTCCCCAGAAAACCACCAGTCCTGGCTTGGTCTGAACCAGTCCTGCTTCAGTCTGAACCAGTCCCGCTTCCGTCTGAACCAGTACTGTTTCAGTCATAGCCAGTCCTGCTTCGATCTGAGCAAGTACTGCTTCAGTCCTAATCAGTTCTCCTTTGGTCTGAACCAGTCCTCCAATTTGAACCAATTTTCCTTTGGACTGAACCAGTCCTCCTTCAGTCTGAACCTGGCTAGCGTCGACCTGAAGCAGTCCTCTTTCAGTCTGAAGCAGTTCTACTTGAGATTGAACCACTCCTGCTTTGGTTTGAACAAGTACTGCTTCGGTCTGAACCAATCTTTCTTCAGTCTGAACCAGTCCTCCTTCGATCTGAACCAAGCCTGCTTTGGTCTGAACCAGTCCTGCTTCTGTCTGAGCAAGACTTGCTTCTGTCTGAACCTGTCCTTTGGTCTGAACCAGTCATTCTTCAGTCTGATCCATACATGTTTCAATCTGAACCAGTCCAGTTTCAGTTAAAACCAGTCCTGCTTCTATCTGAACCAGTCTTACCTCAGTCCTAACGAGTCCTGCTTTGGTCTGAACCAGTCCTGCTTCAGTCCCTAACCAGTCCTGCTGAAGTCCTAAGCAGTCTTCCTTCAGTCTGAACCGGTTCTCCTTCAATTTGAATAAGTTCTCCTTTGGTCTGAACCAGTCCTGCTTCAGTCTGAATCAGCCTTTCTTCACTCTGAACCAGTGCTGCTTTGATCTGAACCAAGCCTGCTTTGGTCTGAACCAGTCCTGCTTCTGTTTGAGCGAGTCTTGCTTTTGTCTGAACCTGTCCTTCTTTGGTCTGAATCAGTCATTCTTCAGTCTGATCCAGACCTGTTTCAGTATGAACCAGTCCTGTTTCAGTTAAAGCCAGTCCTGCTTCAATCCAGACCAGTCTTACCTCAGTCTTAATGAGTCTTGCTTCGGTGTGAACCAGTCCTGCTTCAGTGTGAACCAGTCCTGCTTTGTTCTGAACCAGACCTGCATCGATCTGAACCAGTCTTGCTTCAGTCTGAACCAGTCTGGTTTTGGTCTGAACCAACCCGCCTTCAATTTGAACCAGCCCTGCTTTGGTCTGAACCAGTCTTGCTTCAGTCCGAACCTGTCCTCTTTCATTTTGATCCAGTTCTCCTTCAGTCTGAACCAGTCAATTCAATTCAATTCAGTTTATTTATATAGCACCAAATCACAACAAAGTTGTCTCAGGACACTTTACAGAAACATTCACGTACATAAAAGCCAATTAGTAAAGTTCTCTATCTAAGGAATCCAGCAGACAAGATGCATCTTGGCTTCGATGCAGTCTCCCATCCTGAGCAAGCACAGTGGCAACAGTGGAAAGGAAAAACTCCCTTTTAAAAGAGAGGAGCCTGATAACTGAAAGATCTGCCTCCCATTCTGTTTTTTTAAATTCTAGGAACCACAAGTAAACCTGCAGTCTGAGACCGAAGCGCTCTGCTAGGAAAATATGGAACAATAAGATCTGTAATATAAGATGGAGCCAGGTTGTTGAGAGCTTTGTAGTCCTGTGTTGGTCTGAATCAGTCCTGATTCAGTCTGAACCAGTCCTGATTCAGTCTGCAGTTTGTGGTTGCACTTAAAAGTAAAGTTGGATCCAATGAATATAAACTAAAAAGTTTGTGGAAGTCGCACAGTTCATACAATGTTTTGGTTCTGAGTGGTTTCAGGTGGACCTCTTCTAGACATAAACCTTTTTTTTGTGAACATACTTTAATTCAGTGTGCTCTGTTTATGCTCTGCCTCCAGATTCACCAACTTCTGGTTTGGGTCTGGTTCTGGATTTTACCCCACCAGCTGCAGACTATCTGGATCTGAGGAACCGGCTTAAAGCTCAACATGTTTCTCTAGAGACCTGTTCTGTACAGGAAAACCTCCTTTCTGGTACCATTCAGGTCCAAAACATCTGCTTTGAGAAGTCTGTTTTAGTCCGGATCACCTTCGACTCATGGACGTCCTTCCAGGACATTGAGTGCCGGTACTTGAATAACGTCTATGGCTGCCCCGACACAGACACCTTTGCCTTCTCTGTTGCAGTGCCGCAGAACCTGGACTCCTCCTACAGTGTGGAATTCTGCATCCAGTACCAGACAGAAGACCAGACCTTCTGGGACAACAACCTGGGGAACAACTACTGCCTAATGACTGTAAAGCTGAACGGCTCTTCAAACCAACTCCCTGAAAGGAGCTCTGGACTGGAGACCCGGAGGGATAGAGAGAAGATGGATGAGATGGAGTTTGACCCGTTAGGAAGTCCCAGGACCTCCGCAAGCATTTTCTCTGAGTGGCAAAGCTGGAGTCATTTTGAGACCAGCGCCCCCTACTGGTGAGGGCATTAGGAGTATTTTTTAAAAAGTTAATTTTTATCCTCTGAATGTTAGAAAACCTCTGGAAGTTCTCTGGAGCAGACTTGTCCTGTAGATCCAAAGCACCTTCACTTTGTCACTTTATGTTCTGAAACCAGTCCACTAAAGACCATCATCAGGTTCATGTCCTGTCTGCACAAAGCCAGACTCGGAACGTACAAGGCTCCTGGACTTAAACTGGAGCTGAATCCTCTCCATAAAACCTGAATCCTGAAATGCAAATGTCTTTGGACTCAGTCCAGTTTCATAGTAACAACAACCAGCACTGGGTTTCCTGTAGGGAAACCTTGTTGTAATTAGAGACCTTAGAACTACACAGGGACATTCAGAACTCAGGACCCTTCACAACATTATTTAGATTCTGGAACTTAAAAAGTCTTCAAGCTTAAGGAGCTTGAAGAAATTCCAAACCAGCCTGTGTAAGACCAGCCTACACAAGCTGGTCTGAGTATCCAGTTGAACCCGGATCCAAAGGTTTCACTTCACATCTCATTTCATCACCGAGCCTCAGAGGAGTTCTGGTCCTCTGAAAGCTCAGTGACTTCAGAACCACATTTAGTTTTTTGGGTTCTTTGTGCCATATGGACATATTGACCAGAACCAGAAGTCCAGTCTTTTAATCATTCCTGCAAACTGACACATGCTGGGTCATGCACAGGTTTACCAAGTTCTGTTTCTTTATTAAAATCGTTCCAGAACTAGATGTTTACACTTTTAAAGGTTTCTACACATGGACTGTTTGGGCTTATTTTGGTGTTTAGTTGGTACCCATATGTTCAGGTCATTGACTGGACTATAGGTAAACAATAGGTCCAGGTCATTGACTCAACTGTAGATCAACTCAAAATGGTGGTTACCGTGGTAGAACCAGCAGAGGTGAGACCTGGATTAATGGTCCACCTGGGAATGTGTTTTATAGAATTTTTAACACAGATTTTTTAAAAGCTGGACTATCTTGCTCAGTGGTCCTGGTTCTGTTGGGCATTTTAGGGGAATTGAACCAGATTGTGACCCAACCTGAGTGGAACCTGTGGTGGACTGAAGGTTCTCACCTCCAACATAGTTACGTTTTGGTTCTGACAAGAGTTGTACTGATATTTGTTTGAACTCAAATTTACTAGAACCGATTAACCTAGTGCTGTGAGTCAGAACCAGTGTTTGGGTCAGAAACACTGTTAGGGAACTAGCTGCTGCGTGTTGTTTGGTCATGTGACTGGCTGAACGATCAAAGGTGGCCAAAGATAAACTATTCCATGGATTTGATCTCAAATGTTCTCTAAAGGGTTGTGAAGGTTATGGTTCTCCCTGATCCTGTGCTGCAGCTGACTGTTCCCTCAGACAGTAAACACTCTACTGTGCACGTGCACTTCAGATGCACAACAGGAGCACGAATGTTGATGTGCATGGTTTCTCCTCAGGTGCACAGGTGTTGATAAACTGTTTCTGTTGAAGTTTACTTTATTACAAATTTTACTATTAGCTGAACAGATTGGCTGTGTTTATTCAACTATAATCTGTCCGCTCCTACGTGCATGTCTCACATCAGAGATTGAACATGCTGTGTTCAGGTGGAACATGGTGGAAACTGAACGCATCACATCTGTCATGGTAGAACCTGAATGCAGCACGGCGGACATAGTGAAACGAACACATTGCAGCGCTCATGGTGGAACCTGAAAACAGCACGATGGACATGGACATGGAACTTGAACACAGCATGGCAGTCATGGGGAAACATGAACACAGTGCCGTGCTCATGGTGGAACCTGAACGCAGCACGACGGTCATGGTGGGACTTGAATGCAGCAGGGTGGTGATGGCAAGCTCTTGATGTAACATATTCATATAATTTAACTTTGTGTTAGTGATGCCACTGTAACAAGACTGAAAAGTAGACACATGATGTTGTTGTCATCTTATCACACATGATGTCATCATGTGGCCCTTACTTTAAAAGGAAGAGATGTAAATATGAGCACTGACTATTCGATTAGTGTTTGTCTTTTCAGAATAAAAGTTTAATAAGATTTAATAAAGTTTATTAAAGTTTTCTTTTTTGTTCTTGTTTTGTCTTCAGTCTATCTGAGACCATGCTTTATGCCATTAGTGCTTAGCATATTTTTAGTTGATGTTTTTCTTAATTCATATCTTAGATCTTATTACTGTTTTTCTTTTACATTTTATTGTTTGATGTAACTGGGACCCTGTGTACATAATCTCGTTCCACCACATGTACCACATATGGTGTGTATGACAATTCTCTCTGACACTGACCAGACTAGGACTTTATGCCCCTTTTCCATAGCACCTACTCAGAACGGTTCGACTCGCCTCAGTACAGTTCTAAGGCTTTTTCCACTAGCAATTATTTTTGGAACCGGTCTAGACTGAGACTAGGACCTAGTGCCTCTTATGCATTGTTTTATATTTGCTGCTGCCTATCTTGGCTAGGTCTCCCTTGAAAATTTGTTTTTTAATCTCATTGGAATTTTCCTGGTTAAATAAAGGTTAAATAAAAAATTGTATAGCACGGACATATGACTACTGTTACTAATCTACCTTTTTTTTTTTACCTGCCCTTCTGTGTTTGTCTGTTTCTACCTCCTGTCCTCTCAGCCATTTTAAGTAGATTGCCGCTTGTCCTGAGCCTGGTTCTGCTGGAAGTTTATTCCTGTTTAAGCTTGGGCATTATCTCGATATTTTTAAAATATCGCAATAATTTCATACGCAATATAAGAGGACACTATATTGTCTATATCAATATCTCTATGTTGCGTTATAATTAGTCTATGTAGAAAATTTGTAAAAATAATTAGTCTGTAGAAAATGATTTGCCAGCTCCCTCTGGAATGACCCTGTTGCTATAGGAACCCCAGTGTGGTCAGCAGCTGTATGTTCATGAGCAGCCCACGGCTGTTCGCCGTGTCGCGCTCCAAGACTGGCTGCAGCTCCAAGCACAGTTCCAAAAAGATTGTCCTTAAATACTAAAACGTCTGATGATCCAGTTGTCATCGTAGTCCAGAACATCTTTGTCTCAAAATACACACTTTGAGTATCGCTCCATTTGTTAAATCCTCAAATAAGACTAAAACCGTTGTTGTTAAAGGTATTTTATATCCACTCCTCTAATTTCCTACATTTGGATGCATTAATTGTTCATCATGTGTGTCCGGTGTGTACAGTAATTTTCACATCATCAACCGTTTACCAGCATTACCTCTTAATATCCTGATACATGCTCAATAATGTCCAGAGGACCAGATTGAACTTTTTTGGATTACCTCTTAAGTGTCTCCAACAGACCAGTCACCACTGAAGCATGCAATACGCCAGTAACCATAGAAATGTGTACACCAGTGACCATAGAAACGTGTGTATGCAAGTAACTATGAAAACGGTAACCATAGAAACGTGCATACCAGTAACTGTAGAAACGGTAACCATAGAAACAGTAACCATAGAAATGTACATATGCCAGCCATGAAGCTGGCATGGGGCTGCACACATTTCCACAGTCATTAGTTTCTTCATACATCTAAAGTTTTGCATTAAGGAGGGCGTACACCACGTTTTTGTGTGTATGCAGTTTTTGTACATGAGGCCCTTGGACCTCAGACACTGGACTGAGAGGATATCTGCCTTCCTCTTCAGCAGATTATCAGATTATCTCCAGCAGCAGCTTTGACTCCCTGTTTCCAGATTAGAGTTGCGTAACATCAGCTGTCAGAATTTGCTGCTGCATATCCGACTTCACTGTTTCATCAGAGGGCAGCGAGGAAGCGGAGCAACGCACGCACACACACACACACAATTGTGTATACATTTATTCAGGGACCCACAAACATGAAGTTGACCTCAGCAGCTAGGACTGACAGATATTAATGCCGTCCAAATCACCAAACTGTTAATTGAATGCATTGTTTTCTTTCTGTGACCTGCTCATTATATAAAACATGAATCCATCAGCTGATTATTGATCAGTGCTCTGTCCTCATGTGACCTTAGAGCCAGTCAGTCATCTTATGGATCTGAACTCGCTCTGTTCTGATCAGAGCAATCACCCAGCTGGTGTGTCAAGGTCAGGGTGAGACATGTTGGTGGGTTGAATTCTTCTTTAAAACTAGAAATCATGGTAACATGGTGAATCATGAGGCCTATGGTCATACTATCATGTTATCAAAGAACTACGTATAATGAATTGATCATTTTAAATTCAATTAGTTTATTTCTGTAGCCCCAAGTCTCAACAGAAGTCGTCTCAGCGCATTGATCAAAAACATTCACATAACTTATAAAAAACAATTAGTAAAATTTCTGTAAGGAATTGTTGGGGAAAAATGTTCTCGCTTATGTTGTTTACTCAAAAAGAACCACACTGGATGGCAGGAGAAGATTTTTAACCAGGATTTTACTTGAAAGGTCAGATTTTAATGACCGGTTACATGAATGTACATGAAAGGTACATACATGAAGACCAGTCATGAAAATTTTCCTCGAGTTTCCCCCTCAGCTTGCTTTTACATCCTTATCAGTTCAGCTGAGTTCACAGAGTTTAGGTGTCCTTGGCTGCATGCTGCAACCTTCCCATCCAGTGTTCTTCACAAACCCAAACATATGATTCATGGGCAGTTATAAGATTATCAGTAATAAATACATTTATAAACCTTGATCAAAAAGTCTGACAGCAAGCCAGCACATTGTGTTGAATCTTCACTTCATCAGTCTCCCATTCTGAACAAGCACAAAAGGCACAGTGGAAAGGAAAAAACTCTCTTTTAGCAAAGAAGAAGAAACTGGTTCTGCTGAAAGTTTCTTCCAGCAGAACCAGGCTCAGGACAAGCGGCCATCTGCTTCGACCGGCTGAGTTTGAGAGGAGAGGAAGTACAAGCAAACACAGAATATAGGTCCAGGTGTACTTTCTATAGGAGGAAAGACAAAAAACATGTTAAGAAAGAAATAATTAC